CGACGAGAGAGCGAGAGAGAGAGAGAGAGAAACAAAAAAAAAACGATAACTAAAGTGAGGATAGTAGCGAGGGCGAGTGAGAGCGAGAGTCGGATGTTATGGACGGGAAGGGGGGGGGCCCATGCAATGCCCTAAGAGGCAGAGGAGATGGGGGATTCACGGAGAGGCAGAGAGAAAGAGAGACATGTAGAGATAGAGAGAGAGAGAGGGAAAGAGAGAGAGAGAGAAAGAAACAAAAAACAGAGATTGGTAGAGTGAGAGCGAGAGAGAGAGAGAGAGAGAGAGAGAGAGAGAGAGAGAGAGATGGGACCCGTGGGGAGGAGGGGGAAAAGGGGGGGGGGGGAAGGTGGGGGGGGGGAGGAGGACCAGGGGGTTCCGCGAAGGAGCAAGCCCATGCAGAAGCCCTACCACCTTGTCATGCGGCGGCTCCAAAGCAAGGTCAGGTTCAAGACGGGCGAGACTGAGCCGAACTTCAAAGGCCGCTTGAAGCTGATCACCAAGCTCCAGAGGAAGCGGCGCAATGGGGGGGGTGCTGACTCCTGGACAAACGGGCAGTTGAGAAGAGGGATATGCAGGAATACGTAAAAGACGGAGAAATTCAAGAGGGCAGGGAAGGAGGGTGGGGAAGGGTAGGGAAGAGGAAGACGGAGGGTAGGGAAGAGGAACCAAGGGATACTCAAAAATGGAGGGGGCGATGTGGACGGGGTAAGACCACGCATGGCACATTAATCCCGAGTCGGAGTCGTGCGCCAGCCTGGGCTGCCATGGTCGCATGGCCCAGACTAGCGCTGGACTCCCACGATGGGGTTCAAAAGACATGCATGGTCCTACGCCGTCCTCATCGCCCTCTCCGTCGGGCTTCTCCCTCGCAGTCCTATGGGTCTAGGATTCCGCTGCCCTCCTCGTCGTCTTGCTTGGAGGCACGCTGAGGCGAAGCCTCGGGAGTGGTCCATTGAGTGGGCTTCGTGCGGCGGCTGCCCTGCCTGTGCTGCCATAGACAGTCTCTGTCCTGTGTGTGAATATAGGATTCAGGAGGCCTTTGCACCACCGCGCGGGGGGGGGGGGGGGGGCCGAGCGACTCGGATTGAGGGTGAAAGCGCGCCTACTTGCGTGTGCTGGGCACCCGTGGGGCCTTTGGGGGCCTGTGGGCGCCTTGTGAGACCTGCGGGCACCTTGTGGGGCCTGTGGCGCCAGTGGCACCTGTGGGGCCAGGGGCCTTCCGATAGTAGACACCGCCACTTCTACCGCCACTTAGGTTCTACCAAGCTCTAGATGTGGTCGAAAGTGTTCGATATTGGAGGACATAGATTGTCGCGTGGGCCGTGCCCCTCAGGGAGCTCCACCTGCGGCCCCAGAGACAAGTTTGGATAGCGTTCCCCCGCCTTGTCGGCACACATGCCCCCATCGTTCACCCCTCGCCTGCGCGCCCAGCTCGTTTGAGCTCAGAAGTGTGTTTGGTCACCCCCTTCGCGCCTCGCCCGCGCGGCGCACCACGAGGCGCCCACCGTGGACGCAGAGCCCCCGGAGGTGGCCCTCCAAGACCATGTTAGGAACCACGGCTCCAAGCGAGCCTTCAACCTCAACAACTACCACACCCTCGGCAAAAACCACGCTGTGCACGCGCACAGCCTTCACCTGATGGCGCCATTGGCGGTTGCTCTTCAAAACGGCCTCTTCCCACCCCCTGGGGAGCAACGATGAGATCTGACGTTGGTCTGACGTTGGTTGGTCGTCAGACCAAGTCGGCCTGGCGTTGGTCTGACGTTGGCCCAATAGCTAGACCAACGCCAGACCAACGTCAGAACAACGCCTCGATCATACTTAACAGATCTTGCAGATAGAGGCCCTCATCAAAGCGCGCCCGAATTGCGAGGTCAACTTCACGGTGGTGCGCCGCGCGCTGACGGGCGCGATCGCCAGGCGTTCGCGAGGAGCGAGGAAAGGAGGAAGGAGAGAGGAACAAAGGGTGGGGAATGCGGAGGGACAATGGCGCACGGCGACTATCGTCGGGAACTGAGGAGACAGAGGGGGAAGGAGGATGGGGGGGAGGAGGAGGAGGGGGGGGGAGGAAGAGGAGGAGGAAAGGAGAGAGGAACAGGAGGAGGACTGCAGTGAGCAATGTAGCTTCGGGGCCGCAACCCTCGTCAGAAACGTCCGCGCCCGCCCCGTTCAGCCCGCCCCCCTCCTCCCGACCTCGCATCTCGCTTTCCCATCTTGACGGGGGGGCGCGCAGAAACGTCATGCCCGCCCCCCCCCAGGCAGCCTAACTGCACCAGCGAGCCCATCAACAAGCCCCTGAAGGAGAGGGGCGGATCCCTCGCCGACAAAATCACCACGATCTACAAACGCTTGCGGAGGCTGAAGAACAACGACGTTCGGCTTCGACAGGCGATAGGGGCGCCGGACAGGAAATTGAGGCAGAGGAGGACGAACTGGAGACATCGATGAAGAGCATGGGATGAAGCTACGAGGGCAGTGATCTGGTCAGGTCGTTCGTACCTCTTCGCGAAGTATCGGAAGAAGCTAGGCAGCATAGGATGAAGCTGGAGGGGCAGTGATGGCGCCGTCGTCTTCCTTACTCTTGGCTTTCCCCCCCTCGTCGCGTCTTCTATATTCCCTTCTCTTCGCCCCCCCCCCCGGCCCTGTTCCATCCTGATTCATCCGACTTCCCCCATCGTGCCAAGGCCATCTGTGGCCTCAACGCTGCCGGGCTGGACTCCATCCAGTATTTCCTGTGGCTGATGGGGAAGAACTGCGACCTCATCATGGGAGAAAACGTTTCAACCCAAAACAGAATCCCACAGAAGTGATGCACATAAGTGAGCTGTAAGATTCAACCCAAGTGTAAGGCAACAGAATTGAAGGCAAACCCAGGTCCGCTGAGTCGGCGTGACTGATGACAAGAAACCAACCCAAGATTTGAATCCCACTGACCTGTTGGAATTGAGCAAGGGAATACAACCCAAAGAAACAAAGAAAGACAAGGTCCCAGGTGCAGACATGTCCGAGACGTGAAATGAATAACCCTGCGTCCCAGTGACAACCCAGAAGGCAGAAATACTTAACAGAAAACGGCCGTCTTGTAAACTAAAAACCAAATTAAAGAGGGCAAACCCACAGCCTAAGGAACAAAATGGGAATACCATCTGTCCACACCGTCCCGTCGCCGGACGAAACAGCCTGGTATGTGAATCCCAAACTGATCAACCCATGTCTCCATTTGGTCGGCCACGGTTTGCATATAATCGCGGTGAGTGAAATCATATATCATATTCGTACAAATGTGATCTGCACAAGCATCGGCATCCGTCCGAATTGCTTTGCACACAGTGTGGATTTTCTCCTTGTCGTGCCCAAAAAATTCCATGATACCCCCCGCCATTGCAACAAGTATTTCGCTCATGTTCGATATATAGACCGAATAGAGCTGAGTCGAATCGCCCCTCCTGGGCGGCAGCAACGTCTTCAGCTCACTATCCAAAGTCACGAGGTGCCCATAGAACCTGTCCACTTCTCTTTCGGCGAATCTTTGCATCATGTCCCCAACGTCCCCCATACTGAACAACAAATCGACCTCGGGACCCATCGGATGAGTTTCTGCCACACTGACCATGAGAAATTGCCGGAAATGTCCAACCGAAACTTCCCTTACGCGGGACAAAGGAGGAGGCTGGGAGTCCACAGCGTCGCCGGGGACAGGCGCAGCCCTGACTTTAGGCGGTTCGGGAACTAATTGTGGAGATGCAGAGACAGGTGCGGCATGGGCTTCTGACAACGCGGGATCATTGGGTAAAGAAACGCAGCTGTTGGGACGTGAGCAATTGTCGCTGCAACCCAAGACAGCACCATGCTGGCCACACTTTTCCTCGTCGTCCTCCTCCTTCCTCCTCCTCCCGCTCCCTCCCACGTTCGAAAAACTGCCGTCCATCGTAGGAGCAACTTTGACACCAGAAGAATCCGCAGCTGCGGTAGAAAGTCCCACATATGCTAGGGTGAGAGAGAGAGGGCGAGAGAGAGGAGGGTGAGGGTGAGAGAGAGGAGGGCGAAAGGGGGGAGGATGGAGGTACGAGGACAAAGGGAGGAGCGGAGCCTCGGCCCGCGCAACCCGAGGCCGACCACCAGGACATGAAGACCCACCAGGACGAGGACGAGGGCGACTCAAAGTTCAGGGTGACGGACAAGGAGCTGAAGGCCCGAACGGGCATGCTTTTTTTGTCGTACTCATTCTTCCCATGCATCCCCTTGCCTATCCTCGTCATCATGTCCCTCTCCTCGCTTCCCCCCCCCTCCCTGGGCGCCGCGCCCTCGTGGCTCTGCCCTCCGCCCTCCGCCCTCGCAACTCCGCCCTCTCCCTTTTCACCCTCCTCTCTCCACCCTCCTCGTTCCGCCGCCCCCCCCCCGCCCTCCACCCTCCACCCTCCTCACTCCTCTGGCCAGCTTCGTCGCGCGTCCCCGATGCGCGCGAGGCGTGTCACCGTGCCCCCCCCCCCCCCTCTCACTCCCAACCTCGGTATACTCGGGTTGTGGTTTAGTGCGCCGTACCATTGTCCTCGTCGCCCCCACCCTTTCCCCCTCTGTCCTCGTCCTTGATTGTTGTGGTTTGATGGGTCTTATCTTTCTCCGCGGCAGGGCTCCAAAATTGCCTGGGAGAGCCCGGGACAAGGCATGACAAACAAACAGCACAAGAGGGTAATATTGAAGCCCTCCTGTGCCTGCGCTGTGCTTTGTTTGAGCCTTGGCATGGGCTCTCTTGGCGCATATGGTGCCCCTCTCCCCCTTCCCCCCTTCCTCTGCCTTCCTCCCCTCGCCTCGTCCCCCGCCGTAGCCATTTGGGCTTAAGCTGGGGATTATGTTGTCGGGGTGAGCCGAGGATGACCTCGGCGTTCGCGCACGCCGCGCTGACAGCATCGGCTTCCGAACTCGACTCCCTGGCGAGCGAATTCATCATTCCAGAGCGATGAGCGGTCTTTAAGAGCCTTGCTACGTGCAATGTGTTGAGGATGTTCGTGGAGTTCGCGATGCCGCGCCTCCCATCGCTCCTCGAGACCGCCAGCGGGCCCTGCATGACAAACTTGGCCCTGATCGAGTTCGTGAACGATTCGCAGTGGGCCATGGCAACGCAGTGCGAGGCCACTAGTGGGCCCTCGTTGACGCGCGCCGAGACCCTTACGCACGAGTGGGGCGTCACGGAGGAGTGCGGCTACCAGCGCCTGACGGGGCTCAGCCTGCGCCTGAGGAAGGGGGGCTTCGCTTGGTTCGAGCTCGGAGAGGACGCGTGGATGCCTTGGGGCCAGGTTGACTTCGAGCGCAGCGCGAACCTCCCCCTGGGCAACACGAAGTCCCCCAAGGTCGTCAAGGAGAACCTCCGGATCCAGCGCTTGGCCACCATCGGCACGATCGTGTGGCTGCGCGGCGGTCACCAAGCATGGGCCTATAGGCCAGTCAGCTACGCCCAGAAGAACCACTACTACGTTGCCTTGAGCAAGCTGGCGCTCAAACATGAGATCTCTGTGTCGATCCCCGTCACGAAGAACGGCCAGCTGAGGATGGACATATTCAGCAGCACGATCCACATCAAGAGCCTGTCGGGTGACACCCCCTCATCGACGATCTACTCCGTGTACAAGTCCACGGACAACTTCGTGGCCGACGTGGCGAACGCGGTGAAGTTAGCCTTCGAGGACGTGCCACCCCCTGGTGGCATTAGAGCATAGTTCGAGGCCTCGGCCAGGCCCCCCCTCCTCCTTCTCCTCCTCGTCCTCCTCCTTCAATTACTCAGTCCCCTCCTCGACCGCCCCCGTGGTCGAGGAGGAGACTGAGGAATCGAAGTCTCGTCCTCGACCGCGGAGGTGGTCGATGAGGAGACTTCGATGAAGGGTGCTTGTATCCAGGGTATGCACATATGTATGTGTAGATAGATGTATCCCCATGGTCCTTATATACACCCCCTAAACTTGTAGTCATGTTCGCACTTCTGTTCATCAATAATTGGATGCACACCTAGATCTCATATGTCCTTCTCTATTGACCAAGAAGTGTACGCATGCATAAACACATGTAAACATGCATATGTGTATAACTATGTGTACGTGTGTATATATATGTATATATATATATATATCGCATTACCCCTCAGTCACCTACTCTTCGCACCTCTCAATATGTTCCTCCTTCTCCTGCCCCTCCTCTCCCATCAGGGATCGAGGTGGCGAGGCCGCGAGGGCCCCCCTCTCCGAGCGCGCCGCCAGCAAGGCCGCGCAGAAAGTGCCGCCGACGAGGCCGACGTGGAAGTCGCACCTGACGCGCCTGCATCGAAGCGCTGCCGCGTCGCCAGCTAGAGCAGCAGCATTGGATCCCCGTATTCATCGCCTGAGGCAGCAGCTCCTACACCGTCTATGGCAGCAGCCCCTACACCGTCTATGGCAGCAGCTCCTGCGTCGTCGAGGGCAGCACCTCTTACGCCGTCTATGCCAGCAGCTCCGACGTCGTTGATGGCAGCACCTCTTACGCCGTCTGAGGCAGCAGCCCCCGAGGGAGCATCTCCTACGCCGTCCGAGGCAGCAGCTCCTGAGGGAGCGACCCCCACGCCGTCTGAGGGGGCATCTCCTACGCCGTCTGGGGGCGCGACCCCTCGCGCGCGTCCCCGCTGAGCAGCGGCTGTCTTCGATCCGATCCGCTCTGCCCCCATCTACCCTTGCGCGCGCGCCTTCCACCGCGGCGCGCGCCTATGAGTCCGACGATATTTCTGAGACGGCGCTGTGCGAACTCGGCCGCCGGACTAGGACGTCCGTAGTGGGCGAGAATATGTTCATTAGTCGGCAGCGTCGAAGCGATCCCGTTTCGTTCAACTCCACTTGGGCGCCACGGCGCGGCGCATTGCATGCGAAGGAGGTGGAGGAGATCGAGTAAGAAGGGGGAATACATAGCGCAGATGAGGGTTAGGAGGGCGGGCGAGGGATAGGAAGGCGGAGGAGGAGGCGGCGGAATAGGCGAGATTAGACATCATGCGAAGTGCGCCCAGCGCTCCGTCAGTAGCATCGCAGTCGCGGGGCTGACTGCTTGCGTGCAGCATGCAGCGTTTGCCAGCGTGGCGGGACCGCCGCGCGGGAGTTCGACTAGTGGCCTTGCTTTTGCAAAACGAGAAAACCAACGCTCGCACACCAATGACAGAACTAACAACTCTACCAATACCAGTGACAACAACAACCGTGCCAACAATACCAGCGACAGCAATACCAGCGACAGCAATCGCAACAACGATAATGACAACACGAGCAGCTATATCACTGGACCTCAGGCCACCATCATGTATCATAGGTCGATGTACCGTCGCAAGACTTACTTGTCCTCATCATGTTCTGCTTCCTGCTCCAGGTCCTCATCATACTCCCCCTCGCCATCATCATCATCATCCCGCCCTCCCTGGTCCATGTATGCTCCCCCCTCATCCTCCAGAGCAGTGTGGCCCAATTGAGAGGTTGACTAGTCCCGCTCCTCATATGCGTCGTTCACAATCCTCTTGTACGTTGGGTCCTCGCGTTGAATTCGCGGCGCCGTGCGTGGCATTCCCTCTTTCGTTCCTCATCCTCCTCCTCCTCCGCATCCTGAACTGTCATCACTGTCCCAACCCTCAAATGTGTTGGGTCATGTTCCCCACCCTCCCGTGAGTTCGGTAATTGTTTAGAATTCGAAGCGCGGCGCATTCCCTCCTCCCCCGCATCCTTGTTGCCCCTGCCCCCATCCCCTCCTCTTCCTGGCCCCGTACGGGATTCCAGCAACGGCCCCAGTGGCAAGGCCCGCATGCGCACCCGGGTCCAGTTCAGCACACCCATCACATGGTTCGGGGCCCTTGAAGGAAATCCAACAAAGGCCCCGATGGCAAGGCCCGCACGCGTGTCCGGGTCGATGTCGGCATTCACCTCGCACGCGTCGTGGCCCCATAAGGGGGCCCCTCAGAAAAGCCCCAATGCCAAAACCCGCATGCGCGCTCAGACCCGTTTCGGCCGACCCCTCACGCGTTTCACGGCCCCTCAGGGAGCCCAGCCGAAGGCCCCAATTGCAGGGCCCACGTGCGCACGCTGGTCCAATTCGGCGCACCCCCAACGCCCTCCGTGGCCCCATAGGGAGCTCCACCGAAGGCCCAAACGAGTGGCAAGGCTCGCATGCGTACTCGGGCCCAGTTCCCAACGCACCGCGCACGCGTCGTGGCCCCACGCGGAGCTCCACCGACGGCCCTAGTGGCAAGGCCTGCACGCGTGCTCTGATCCATTTTGGCAGACCCCTCACACGCTCCGTGGCCCCATAAGGAGCTCCACCGAATGCCCCAGTGGCAGGGCCCGCATGTGCACTCGGGTGCATCCCCCCCCCCTCCCCCCCCCCTCCCCCCCCCCCCCCCCCCCACCCCCCCCCCCCCCCCCCCCCGCCGCCCGCCCGCCCACCCACCCACCCGCCGCCCGCCCGCCCGCCCGCCCGCCCACGCCCACGCCCACGCCCACGCACACACACACCACACACACACACACACACACACACACACACACACACACACACACACACACACACACACACACATCACACGCACGTTTTCGACGCCCCTCCGCGCCAGCGAGATCTTGTGCATCGAGCGGTCTTGTTGGTGTGCTCCACGCGTGGAAGAGGAGTTGGGTTCTTCGCCAAGGTAAGTTGTGGGAGCAGTTTGCAGACTGCAATGCTTGGGCGTATTAGTAAATCAACATCGGTGTTCGGGTCCCTTCTCTGACCTTACCGCTGCGCTGCTGCCCGCCACCTTGGGTCCAATCTTCGGCTCCGTCTGCGGTCGCGCCCTCCGACGGCGACTGGACCACTGCACCGCCGACCCCGACTCCCCGAAATCAATTCATGTGCGCCCGTGATGTTGGCAACCCCCGTCGGCAATTGCGCCCGCTGCGCTGCGGGCGGGAGGGGGGGGGGGGGGGGGGGGGGGGGGGCGGGGGGCACGGGATATGGGGCAAGGGATGGGGAGTACGGCATGGAGAGCAAGGGGTAGGGAGCAAGGGGTGGGTTGGGAAGAGGAGTGAGGATGCAGGGGGCAACGCCTCCCGGGATACGGCCATTGCCTTTTGTCATCATCGTATTGCCATCGCCTCCTCCCGCCCGCCAGGCCCTGGCGATCGCCGCCAAGAACAGCAGCTCGACGATTTATTCGCCTCGTGCGCCCTGCGCGCCCCGCACGCCCCGCGCCCCTCGCACGCCCCGCTCGACGGCGCCATGCACTCCTTGCCCGCTCGTTGTTTCAGACGAGGACGATGAGAAGTTGCTTGCGGCCGCGAAGAAGGCGAAGCCCGTCCCTGCATACACGCATCACTTGAAGGATGCGCAGCTTTACTATCGAATGCGAATGGAGGGGCACGGAGGAGAGATCCCAGGACGCAGTGGTGGGGGGGGGCAGGGGTGCGATGTAGGCGGTCATATGGGGAAGCGAGGGCGGAGGAAAAATGGGCAATGGCACGGGGAGTACATAGCGGTTGCGTGCGTGCGTGTGTGACGGAGGCCACCCGCATGCACGGACATGGAAGCATTCTCGCAGATACGGGCATGGGTTGCATGGCGGTACATGACAGCACCAGCACATACATGACAAATAATATGCGCATATCTCCAGGCCGAAGTCAAGAAGCCCAAGGCCGCGAAGACGGTGAACGCTGACCCCAAGCTCGTTCGCTTCACCGAGCGCCCCATCCTGGGGCCCATGCACGCCTGCTGCGCGAAACAAAAAAAAACAAGTCCTATATATGCTCTGAGGTGCCAGGCTCGTCGAAGCGGGCGCTCTATCTCGATATTAGGAAGCCGCAGTCAGAGGATCACGCAGTTTTGGTATCGCGGCTCATGCGCCTCGCCTGCCAGCATAAATTTTTAAAGGGGCAGGCGAAGACCTGGAGGGCTAAGCAGCTCAAATAAGTTGCGCCATGCAGCCTGGAGGCTGCAGCGCGGGCTGCAGTGACGATGGGTGTGTGTGTGTGTGTGTGTGTGTGTGTGTGTGTGTGTGTGTGTGTGTGTGTGTGTGTGTGTGTGTGTGTGTGTGTGTGTGTGTGTGTGTGTGTGTGTGTGTGTGTGTGTGTGTGTGTGTGTGTGTGTGGGGGGGGGGGGGGGGGGGTCAGGAAGCATGATTCAAGGAAGGAGGCGCGAGAACAGGAGGAGCAAAGAACGATTGCTGGATGGATGGTGGGGATTCCCGTGATGCGGCTAACACGTTTGCTGCTTGAGCAGCGCGCTATCGTTGAGCGCCGCGGCGTTCGGGGATGACCGCCGTGGACGGGGGCTCGACGCATTCGCCGTTTGTGGTCCCTGAACATGGCATGATTGCGTCGAAGTCTGAGCATGGAGGTTGCGAGATCCTCGACGGGAGGACGATGCAACATTTGCAATCTATCCCAAGGGGGTCGTTTTATATCACGCATGAAGGTCGCGTGACTCACAGGCCGTATATCCCAAGAGGCTTCCTGATTATATACCAGTCTAAGTGATAACAATTGCGCGCGGGTGGCCTAACGAATTAGGTACGAGTCGAAGTAATTAGATACGAACATTCGCGGATCATGCCCTTGTGCTATCGTAAGTTGGTACGAAAGTTGCCTCATACCACTTAGATAATCATGGTACTATAAATATATGCACCATACATAGGTGCAAGTACTGTGCGAGTGTA